CTAGTTGTTTATTTGGTGTTTGTGACTTGTTTGAGGCACAACACTTGGGGTGCTAAGTTCTCTCAAGGCTAGCTACATCAAGAGGTAACTTTCTAACTTATTTTATGATTCATATGTTAAATTTTGTATGCTAGTTTAGGCTTTATGCTTTGGAAACCAATGTTGCATGTATAATTAGAGAAAACTTAGATCCAAAGCATTATGGTTGTATGTGCACCATAGGAATGTTAGAGTACATAAAACCCAACGGTGACGGAGATCACCTGCATGTTCACTGAGAGGGCGATGTTCTGCTCGGAGTTTGCGTCCGAGCAGGCTCAGATGACTCGTTATCTAAGCATGCTCAAGACTAACATCAGGCAGTTCGTTGCTACTCAGCGTTGTGATACTTTACTGGAGTTACAGGAGGCCGCTAGGCGGCGTGAGCTTGAGATTGAGTTGCAGTTGAGAGAGCAGAGGCAGGCCCCGACGCAGTCATATCCTGCGCCGAAACGATTTAGGGCCACTGACTCCACGCAAGGGAGTCAGAAGGGCAAACTAGACCCCTTTTATCCCTATCTTTGAATCGGACTCCACCCCTTAGGATTCTTCTCTAATCAATCAGACTCAATAAAGATGAAGATGAGGGCAAACTAGACCCCTTTTATCCCTATCTTTGAATCGCAAACACCCACCCCTAAATCAATACAAGAAACGGATAGCAGGCGGGTGCAATTCAAGGTGCGCCCAAGTTTTGTCTATGTGGCATTGAAACCTACTAAAATAGGTCACTGTGACTAAAAAGACAGGTTATTTCAGAGTTCGTTCCCTCATAAAGCCATGAAAATAGTTTAGGGACTAAAAATACCAACCCTAAAAAGTTTGTAGGACATTTGTGTCATTTCCCCTTAAAACATTGATCATAAGTTCATAACCAACATAATAATGACTATGACTCGTATTCTTATAAAACTATGAACATCAAAGAGCCTTACATCACGTTTAACTTGGTTTGATATTTGAGTTTAAGAGGAAGGAGATTGAGGCTTTATTTATTGATGTTTTTTTTAATTTTTTTCTGATGAAGATGAAGATGAATAAGGAAATAAAGATGGGGTCAAAATAGTTATTTTACTTTGTAGTTAACTGAGATTTTTTTTAACAGAGACGAGATTTGCACCAAAATAAATTTTGCAACAGAATTAAGCTTTAGTACTAGCGGTGCAACATAAAAAACATCCAGCAATATCCATAAGTAACCTTTGACAAAGCACAGTCATAAGGACGAAACTTGTAATTTTGATTTTAGTCTAAAAAATATTCTGACCGGCCTTGCCCAAGCCCAAGCCCAAGCCCAAATTCAACTTGAGATTCTCATCAACAGTTGCAATTGCAGCCTTGCAAGCATAACAAAAACATTGATTTTTTCAAAAGTAAAAAAATCGAATCTTATCAATGTGTTGTGTGTTCTTAATCAAAGATGATAACAAATTTACTTAATCAACCCCTCCCTCAGGTCTCATTCATAGGTCATAACCACATAACTAAGTAAGTCGTCTCAGCTATCAACTCAAGTAGCGTTGGTTCAGTAACTACTTGCATCATTCAGGTTAACTATGCATGCATGCATTCAAATGTGATAATGATATGAAGAAATATCGTTTTTGCTTGTCGTCGTTACAATGAGTTGTGCCTTAACACCCCCATTAACTAGAAAGGGGGGGGGGGTGGTGTTCATCTTGTTATGACCGGCTTATGAGGTGCCACTTCAGCAATAACATCACTTCTCGTTGTCGTTATCGTGTGGAAAAAGAAATATGGCAAAAACACTGAATGCATAACACATCTATTTCTTAAATTAACCCACTATGATATATTTTTGTGAAAAAAATAGTAATAATCAATGACATAGGCAAGCCATCCAGTTGGTTAAAGCTACTATCACATAGGTTTCTTATATAGGTTATTGCAAATTCTTTATGCAGGGACAGTTGTTTATAAGTTCTTTAGCTGAGGTTAGATCGATTTAAGTAGGTAACACAACTTTTTTGTCCGGCTATTGTTTTCTGATTTTTTTTTTACTTCCATACATTTCAAATCAGTTCTTTGTAATTGCTGGAAATATGGATTGTAATGTATTATTGGTGCTTTTTTGTTTTCAAATCGTCTTAACCTATTCACTTTGTGATTTAAGTAATGTATGTGTTTTATGTGTATGACACAACAAATAATTGCATACTCTTTATGTGGATTGATCATGCATTAGAAACTGATAATGATAGAAATGTTGTTTATTATTAAAGGTGTTGAAGGAGAACAAATTGAAAGAGATTAATGAGGAGTTGAACGAATTGAAGGATAAGGAGATAAAGAAATTGGTGAAAAAGAAGTTATGTTCTTAGGTTTATTTTAACAATGGTGGTCACGTTTGTAATGTTCGTTGTGTTTTGTCTTGATTGAAAGTTGTAACTAGTAATTGTTTTTAACGAGTAAAGTAGATCGTCTTATGTATAAATTGTAATGTGCATTGTTTGTAATGTACAAGAATGGTGTTTTGCTTTTAACATGATGTACTAAATAGCAATGTACTTTAGTTTTTTGTTTTTCGGACCTCAAAAGTAAATAGCATAATAGCATTGTACTTCATCCTTTTAGTTTATTTTTTCTTTTTGAGATCTGCACTAAATGGCATTGTACTTTATTATTGTTATTATTTTTTTATTCATTTTTGTTGCAGATCTGAAGTCATTTTTAGCTCACAAAAATGAGTGGGCGAGTGAGTGAATATGCTAAACATGACAATTGACAAGAATACATACATACATATTACATACTCATTCAAATGAAAATCACATTCTTATTAAAGCTCAACAACTTACAATCTGAATAACAAAACAACCATCATAAAGTTACTTATTCTAAAAAACAAAATTTAAGAATTTTCATTTATCATAAACTTGTTTATTTCTCTATAGAACTAAATAATGTGAGTAAAAAGTAGCAGCCAACCTATCAAGATTTAAAAAAAAACACAACCTATCATAATCAATCCTTATCAGCTCATCTAATAGCCTAGAAACAAGTGATATTGCATCTTCCTACCCTTGACTTATAAGAAAACTAACTTATCCTGATTCCTGACCTTGCATCATGAGTTCATCTTCGCCCTTCAAATTTCTATTCCCTTGTCTTCTGTTTTTCAAAATACATTTCGATTCCTTCACCAAATCAATGTACTTTGCTCTTACTTGGGCAAGAGGATGGACCTTTATGGCTGTTTCATCATAATACGCTTCCTTTAATATTGCAGTGCATGTTTTGTTCCTTAAAGATAGATAAAACACATGGGGATGTCTCTCAAACGCCTTATGAACCTTTTGTGGCAATCCCAAATACTTTCTCAAGCACAAAAGCTTCTTCCTTTCTGCAGAATGTTCAACAAACAGACTAAGCAACTCGTGGAGCACACCCACAACACGTTTCTCAGCCACATCACTATCTGGGTATAAATCCGGGGGGCATTTCTCATATGGTGAAACATACGGAAGTTTCTGAAAATGGTCCAACCAATCCAAAATCTTTGTCTTCAACCTCAAACCTTTAGATGGAAACAATGGAATTGAAATACCCTTTCCATTCCTCAATGCATTACTTTCAAATACAGATAATATCTTTTCGTCTTTTTCGGTTTTCACAACAGATAACCCTTTCAACCCATCGCCCATTTCAACTACCTTAAAACACTCATCAAGATTATTTTCTTCCAGGTTACTCAGGTAATTATCTGGTAACCCCAAGTACCATATCATACCTTGAATTATCTTCAATGGCAATCTATTTTCAACACTCATACATATAAATTTCTTCAACCTTTCTTGTAAATCGGCCTTATAATCCCTATAAACGGTTTGTTCTTCATCATTAAGCATAGCAGCCTCTGGGGTTAACCTAAACCATGGCAAATTGTATTTGGGTCCGATGAACTCTTCGAAAATAGAAGGGTATAGTCTAAGAAACCTGGCAACCTTAATGGGTACATCTAATTGTAAGCCTTTCTTTGAAACATCGGAGATGGGTATGCATCCTTCTAGAGAGGTAGTGATGCAGTTCTTAAGAGCAAGTATTGGTTTGAGTTCGATGGATTTGTGGATTGTATCAATTGACTCCAAGTATGAATCTTTTTTCCATTTCATGTATACATTGGTGTAGTTGTGTTTTTGGATGTGTAGACAATTTGGTGTGTATTGGTTTATGAGTGAAAAGAAGGAAACCGTTGAAGAGAAACGTATGAGCTTTTGGAGATTTCTACCACAAATTTGATCGAAAGCCATTTCCAGTAATCATAACAGCTCTAGCTTGAACTAAACGCCGGAAACAATTACACACCAGCAAAGAATAAAAAAAAGTGCGTAGAAGATATTAAAATATAACCTCGTTATTGAAGGAAGTTTTGACTGAGCTAACTGTGTCAGAAGTTCTGACTGAGTTAACTTCTGTTCTGAATGAAACTTGTTTGATTTTGCATCTGACTGACTGTGAAAAATGACTATTTTGCCCATGTAACATGACTATTTTGCCCCTGTAACATCTGAAACACAACACATATTGGAATTAACATCAAACTCAATAACCAATATTAATAGCAATGTATTTTCATTTAATTGAGAATTCTAACAATAAATACAAAATTAAACATAAAAATGGAATCAAAACATCAAAACATCAAAATTCACCTTATTATATATACCAAACTAGAGATCAGGGTGGGCATAATGATTAAATGATATGTTTTTGAAATAAACAAGTCATGCACTTTCTAAGCTGGTGTTTGCTACATGGAACCGGAAGAAACGAAACATAATCATCGAACTGGATAAGAACAAAATGGGACGAGCTTCTTTTTTACTAAAATAACCATGTAACCTCATCTCAAATCAATGCTTTCATCTTTTCTACTTCTTCTTTATTATAACAAGAGTGGATGATAAACATGAAAAAGATAAAACAAAAGAGCTCCACATATTAAACACCCCATCAATTTATGTATGAATATGAACAAGTTCACAATGTTGACGATGGATGAAGATACATAATATCAAACAAAAGAGTGCAATTGAGACCCACAGCCTGCTCATAACTCAAAACAAAAATCATAAATACAAATTTCAGCAAAGTGAAGGCAAGAAATTCAACAAAGTGTAACAGGGATTCGATAACAAACGAGAAATCCCCTTAGACCCCACCTGACCATCCGGGCAACAATGAAACCCCCGAAAGGGACATGGCCAAGTACCGCTCGAAGAAGTAGAAGAAGAAGCCATGAAAATAAAAGATAAGCAATTTAAGCCTCGAGCTGAAGCCCTAAAGAAAATGTCGAAACCCTATGATGGAAACACCGCAAACAAAAGTAGGCGTGCACCAAATGAAGAAATCACCGGGAAGAAACACTACATTTCCTTGAAAGCAAGGGCGATGGGCTCACAATCAATCTTGATTACAAATCCAAGGGATAAATAGCCTTACTAGAACTTTGTACAATAAAAGTCATGGTTTTGGGTGAGACATAAAAAAAACAGCTTGAATAGAGTTAAAAATATGGATGTAGTATTTGAAAATTTCACTTTGGCATTTTATCGAACACTTGGTGGGCAGTGAAGTTGGCATCTGATTTCAACTTGTAGGAGGCTTGCTTGAAACCCATCATTTACCAACTTAACATCAACATTTCTATTAGTTTGCATTGTTTTTCCTTGTAAGATTTAGTGAAGTTATCTGATTTCTTCATGAGTCGTAAACAGTGGTCGTCAATTCTTGAGAGAAAGACGAGGAGGATGTGTGATCGTTGAAGTGAAAACGAGCCAAAAAAAGTATGATCGTTGAAGTAAAATGCATTTTTGTATCAAATATTAAAAATTCTTCACTGTCGAAATCAATCTTTCAAGTTCCCAAAAATTCAATCATATTGAACGAACACAGTGTCTGATTGCGATTGTATCAATTTGAACATTCATGCTTCAACATACATGAGTTCGATCATAATCTCCAAGCAAGAAATCAACAATCCATATCAGATTCATCAAAATCAATCTTCACCAAACCAAGATGATCGTTTAACCTATCGATTTCGTCAATTTCTTCAATAGATAATAAATCGAAAATCCTTTTTGCTCAACAATCGTTCATCATCAAAGATACAATATGATATAATCATGACTAGGGTTGCCAATTTCTAATAACAAATCAAAATCAAGAACAAAAATGATGAATTCGGCTATAAAACTTAAAAATTAGGGATCCAATTCTGGAGCAAGTGGAATCTAACAGACCTGTATTGGTTAAAATCGGAGGTGATAGCGGAGACGGCAGCGTCCTTGATATGGGGAGGTGCCGGGAAATCAGGGAAGCCTTCGGCGAGGTTAATGGCGTTGCTACGTACAGCTAGATAAGATAGTTAGTTGGATTGGGGAAGGTTTTAGGGTCTTAGCTACCGACGACAGCTTTGCTTCCATGGCATTATCTCATCGCTAAACAGTAAACCCACCAGTAGAAAAGTAAACGATGGTTTTGAAAATTTGTACTTAATTACCCACTCATCTGGTGGAGTTGAGCTTGTAGTCGAGAAAAGTCGTGGGCTTTTGGAATCTGATATTTATAAAATCTGTACCTTGATCTGGAACGATGGCGGGGTTTTTAAACCCATTTCTTAGGCAGTTGGGTGTGGGCAACGCCCACGGGGCGTTATTGTATGTTATAACGGCGCAAACACCGCCCCACCTCTCCGTTATTATGCGTTATTAGCTTGCATGTTACTTTTTGTTACCACCACCACATCCTCTAATGCCGTTTTCTTCTTTTTCCTTCAAAACACGTGAGTGGGCGTTGCCCACTCCGACCAGTCTTATGAATTGAATCTTGAGCTATAAGTGAATGGTGCATTTTTAAAATTCAATCTTGAGATTAGGTATTGGATATTGAACCTTGAGCTTAAAACATTGTTTTGAGTTGGGTACCTTTTTTTTACTTGAGTTAAAGAACAATTGAGATTTTTTTTGATCGACTATTTGCTAAAATTGAATCTTAGAGTGTACACTTGCTAGAATTGAATCTAGAGTGTACGCTTGCTAGAATTGATTCTTGAGCTAACAAAGATTGTGGGGTTTTAGAATTGACTGTTTTTCAGAATTGGATATGGAGCTAAGATTAATTGTGGCCTCTTTCAATTCTGTGTTTTTTTTAATATATGATAGAATTTACTCTCTTAAACCCTAGAAAAATTTGTGTAATTATATTACAGGTCTTTAAAGGCAACTGTTAGTCTCAACATTGTGACTTGAGGGATTGTGCATTTTGATTGTGAGCTACCACATTACAAAACCAAAGATGGTGTATATAGAGACCCATCAATTAACGGTAGAATTGTTTCCCCTACCTTAATGTGGGTTGAAGCATTGGACCTAAGTCTTAAAAGACTCAAAGATTCAAAGAAATTTGATTTCAAGAACCTTGTTAGTTGTTTCGGGCAGCGGGCATCAACATGGTAACTTTATCATCTCTGGATCCTAAGAAGCCCTTGGTTGATCAATTTGGGGAAGCATTTTCTACAAAAGAATCCCCAATTTGGATGGATAGCAGCACAACGCAAGAATGTAAGGCTATTGAGAAAGCTTTAGGCGGTGCATTGGAGTTATCTAAGCTGACTAGATCTAGAGCCCATGAAAGGTACACGGGCCCACAAATTAAAAGGATATTTGAGATGCAACCTCAAGTTTATAACAACACTGAAAGGATCTCACTCGTGAGCTCCTTCATGGCATCACCTCTGATTGGAGGGTATACTTACATTGATCATACAAATGGTGTTGGGATGAACTTGATGGACATTAAAGAGAGAACTTGGTCAAAAAAGGTTTTGGAGGTTTGTATCCGATTACTTTGAGCCTAAGGGTAGTATGGTCATTTAGAAAGAAAACTCATACGTTTTAGTTTTGTATTTGATATTATTTTAATACAGGCCACGGCTCCTGGTTTAGAGGAAAAACTTAGGAAGTTGGCTCCTGCTCATGTTGTTGCTGGTTTAATTGCCCCGTACTTTGTTGCAGTGGCGGACGCAGACTGTTTTAGTAGGGGTGTCCCTCGTACTTCAAGCCGGTGCACTTAATAGAAAAAACAAACGAAAAAAAAACTACACTATGTGTCGGAAATTAAGCAGTGGCCCGGGACCCCCAATGCTCCACTAAGGTCCGCCACTGCTTTGTTGAGAGGTTAGTGTACATATATTAATATAGACCAATATACCCTTTTCATATAGAGTTGATGATATTCATATGTTTGAGCCTGAGGGTAGTATGGTCATTTAGCAAGCTTTTGAGATGCGTGATGATGATCTTGTTCATTTAGGTTCCAATTCAACAAGGAGTGTTTGGTTGTTCAATGGTCTGGAGATAATCTAAATTGCTTGGCAGGTGAAACTTATCTTCCCTTTTTTACATTCAACAGTGTATGATGTGATAGTTTTATACAATAAATTTATCTTTGGGGTAACTGATGCTAGGTTTTACTTGCGTTTGACCTTTAAAAGTCAAACCTGAGTGTCTTTATGCGATTTTATATTGTTTATTGGTACTTCATTTTACTTTTATAACTTAAGCCAAGCCTAGTAATCTTATCTCTCTGTCTTAAAAATTAAAATCAAATGTAACATTTTTTTCTTTCATGCAGGTTGTCCCGAATTAAATGGTTTCACTTATGTGTAAGGATCAATAAAATGTCGTTTTTTGCCCATAATTAGGCATTACAAGATATTGTTAGCATTGAATTTGATATCCAAAATTCCTCTGTTTTGTCCTAATTGATGGGCATTTTAGATTTTTAACAAATGATAGTAAATATGTTAACTCCAAGCTTGCATTTATTTTGAAAGAAATGTAATATTTTGTTTGACAATAGAGTAGTACTTCATCTGTGATAGAGAATGTGCTATGGATCTTATATAAATATATGGGTAAACATGGGGGACTTAATTGTAATGTCTATTATTCTCTATTTTGCACCCTATCTAGAATTATCTCAAGAATATCATAAATAGAGTAGTGATAGGAGTAGTGAGGTATTCAGTATTTTGTAACTTTGAGTATTGGCTTTAGCTTAGGCAGGAGGTTTCTCTTGAGATAACTTTTTTGATTAGGGCAGGAGGACAATCATTTGGATTTCCTTTTAGTTTGTTCTTATTTCCATTTAGTAATCAAATAGCTACCTAGATCTATATATCTCATATTTTAGTTTCATTTATCTATTATTGGATTCACATTCCTATCAATCTGACTTTTGAAAGTCAAACTTGGTATGTATATAATATACTAAAGAAATACAAAATTTGACAGGATTGACCCTAAACACACCAAGGGATATGGCAATCAGCATTGGCACCGGTGTATCTGATACTGTAAGGACTAAATAATGTGATCCTTGATTCATTCAACCTATCTTGGACTTTGCTAATGAAATGTCCAAAATGCCTTTCACTTAAGTATGGACCATAGATCATAACCCAAGCCTAGAAGGACATGTTTTGCCAAACCCTGTTGATACAAAAGGTTATATGGTGATGTTATGCTACAAAAAAGGTCCCTAACTCGTGAAGGTACACTTGAAAGACGTAATCCAATCTAATTTTATTATGAACAGAAGAATAACTTAAGTTATATGGTTGTGATCTTGATTGATTGATAGATATACGTGATGTGTGTGCGGATAAATCTTGGGATGTTTTTAATCGGTCCCTGAAGCAAGCACCCCCACTTAAATGGTCTGTCTTAGCTTTTTATACATTCCATTTCAAGATTTGTGTAAGAAAGATTGGTTCTTACTACAAGGATCAAGAGATTCTTCGTTGCTGTTTGTTTTTCTGCGGACCGCCTCTACAAACCTTTGCAGTAGAAGAGGTGGACCAAACGACTGCAGACTGTAATACGAACGTGTTTGTTTTTGTTAACATCTGCAGACTGCTGCAGACATTAAAAAATTAAAATAAACTAATTTAATAAACCCGAAAATGGTTTTTAAACACAGAAAATTTAGTAATTGTAGTCTTAAAACATTGAAATAAATTTCATAAAACCAAATTAGTCATACAATAACATTTTGCAATAAAGTTCATACAACCAAACTTTAATAATTCTCATTCGATATTTTGCATCAATTGCTCGGCAATTTCATCCCGTAAGTGCGTCATATATTCACGGTCCACTGCAGTACTATGTGTTGGAATCTCATCTTCATCATCATCATCGACTGCATTGTTATTCCGAACCGAGACATTTGGTTCATCATATCGTGCAAAATACTCATCACGTAGTCCCTCTCTTCTTATAAAATTATGAAGCGCGAAACATGCAAGGGTAATGTTTCGTTGTGTAACTAACGAGAATGGTGTCATCCTCTTCAATATATGGAATCGTGCTTTCAAGACACCAAAAGCACGCTCAATGACGTTCCGAAGTTTTGCGTGTGCATGGTTAAATTTTTCTTTATTCGTCAATGCACGTCTTCGACGGAAATCTCCAAGCCAATACCTCACATTACGGTACGGTACCATAAAACCTCGAATGTTTGCATATGCGACATCACAAAGATAATATTTATCTGTAAAAAGGAAAAAATAAATAAATAAATAAATAAAAATAATTTCTTTTTTCAAACTAAGATAAAACTATTTAAATAACCATAAACTTACCTGATGGTGGTAACGGGAATGATGCATGTGGATTTGCTAATGCTTCTGATAATATTCTAGAATCGTGTGTTATCCCTTCCCAACCGGCCTCAACAAACGTAAACATCATGTTGAAGTCACATATTGCCAATACGTTTTGGTAACAATCGCCTTTTCCCCTACTTCTATATAAATCTCGTTTGTTTGCAGGGACAACAACATGTATCAAAGTGTCATCAAGTGCACCAACTGCTCCCTTGAACACCCGTCGTAGCCTCCTATTATGTCCCGGAATGTTTGGATCCGGATTAAAAGAAGTTGGTACTATAATGTCATGTGCGAAAAGCAACATTTTGTCCAACACTTCATGAAAAAACTTATGAATTGTTTACTTTGAGTGTTGAAATCTCCGTTTGATAATCACATAACGTTGGTTATGACCGATCATCATCAAAAAGATAGTCATCTTCTCCTCAACCGATACATGTTTGCTATCCTTTAACACGCAGTTTACTCTAAAATGAGCACATAGTCGGACAAATGATTCACAGGACATGCATAGCACTTCAACACATTGTAGAGGATTACGGTGAAGTAACTCTAACGTAAATTCATGTCCCGTCATTTCCGAATCGTTGTCCCGCACTCGTTTGATCCATTAGGAACCTATCAATCAACAAAAGTACCAAATAACATAAAATAAAACTCAAGAACCAACTAACATAACATAAGATTCAAGTACCAACTAACATAACATAAATCTCAAGTACCAAATAACATAACATAAATCTCAAGTACCAAATAACATAAGATTCAAGTACCAAAAAACATAACATAAAAGTCAAATACCAAATAACATAAGATCCAAGTACCAAATACTACAAATAACATTCAAGTAGCAAATAACCGAAAAACATAACCATATAGTTCCAAAACATGCAATTAAAACCTAAGCAACTCAAACATATAAACTTAACGAATAATCTTTCCATATTTTAAAACTCCTAAACTTGTAACTGTCCTCTCGATCCATCCTCTTAATATTTGTGGATCATTGGGCAAATTTACCCACATCTCTCTTATATTCATGGTCCCTCCAAAAATATGATACGCAGCAAATCGTAGAGGGTCTACTGGGTCTAACTCGAGCAACTCAAGCTTCTCTAAACATTGGGGAATTGTTGGCCCTTGAGTCAAATGGCGTAGAGCTTTTTGCATCTCCAGTGCTAAATCATCAGCAGTAATAGAAACTTTCGGCGAGGCACAAGAAGGTGGATCAGGTGAGGCACTAGGAGTTCGAGGTCTAGGAGTTGAGGGTTTAGCCCTTTTGTTGGGGTTACCAGAAGGTGAAGCAGCAGTAGGTGAAGCAGCAGAAGGTGAAGCAGCAGAAGGTGGTGGCTGAGTAAAATGCTTACTAGTATGATTGGAAAAGTAATCATCTTCATCTATGTTAATGGAAGGGGCGTCTAAGCTTTAGTGGTGCGACATGGGAAGAAGATGATCCATGTCCCTATGGTGTTTGGGATGTGGCATAGCTAAGATTACCAGATGCATTGTTTCCATCAAAGAGTTATGCACAAAGCTCTGGAAACAATAATGGGACGGTTTTCAAAATAGCGGCTTTCGGATGTCTCTAAACCTAATCAATGTAACAAAAGTAATATAAGAATAAATGGCAACTATATAAACAAAATACATATAAATATGTGTGTGTGTGTGTATATATATATATATATATATATATATATATATATATATATATA